GATTCTGTCTTTTGATTTCTGTTCCATTTCGTGATTCTATATATTATTGCTTTATCTTAACTTTTTATACATTTTGATATTTTTCCCCCGCGTTTTTGGATATCTATATACTCTCACTCGTATATTATCGTACTTGACTTTCCTCCATGACTGAACAGACCCTCAAGGTATTTAAGATTAGGACAATGTCCCCGCCGACTTCCACGAGCACGGCGTGAACGACACACGTGCACAATTTCTCGCAGTAGTCAAGGCACTACTGCGTGAATTTAACAGGTACGTAACACCTAGGTTAGATCAACTCCTTAATAACATAGACCTGCAACACGGTTCTGCGACGGACATGTCGCAAAGGATGAGAGAGTTTACAGGCCTAAGAACTTTCGACGAAGGCCTATTCAAACAACTTTTCTTGCTCAAACTTCCCCAACAAGTGCAAGTGGTTCTGGTCTCGTTTCGTAACAACGCCTAAGACGAGCTGGCTGCATCTGCCGATCATTTCTTAGAAACCACTAAATCTTCTACTACCGAGGTTTTTTCAGTCAAAGAAAAGCCTCAAATGACTCGGAATGACATAACGCGTTATCTTAATTTTCGTAACGACCGTAAGCGATCACACACCGCACGCAGAAGCACTTCACCTGAGCGATCTGTCTCTGGACCACGAGAGCCGGATAACCCCGACTGGTGCTAGTATCATAACCAGTATGGAAACTCTTCCAGAAATTGCAGAAAACCCTGCAATTTTCCCAACTCAAGACCGACTGACTCGAAAAACAACTCGTGAAACTTCCAGGCTGGCACGCGTTAGCGGCAACCGTAGCCGGCGAACATAGCCGTCTGTTATACGTCACAGATGTGACAACGAGAGTTCTCTACCTCGTCGACACTGGCGCAGAAGTTGACATCCTCCCAGCGAATCCCAACGACCGGCTTCACGAATCGGCTTTAAACTTACAGGCGGCAAACGGAAAACCTATCGCTACGTATGGCAAAATGTATGTTTACCTTAACGTGGGTTTACGCAAACCCATTCACTGGATCTTCGTTGTTTCAGATGTTTCTATGCCAATCATTGGTATGCACCTTCTATAACACCATAATCTATTCATCGATACGCGCAAACGGAGGCCAGTAGACGGAAACACTAATTTGTCCGTTTGCGTAATTTCTTTTTCTGATTGCAGATTATCCCCAGTCACAATTAGGCATACGATAGACCCACTTTATCAACCACTACTCGATAAGTATACTGGGATTCATCAAGCACAACCGAAACTACCGTGCGTAACCAGCAACGTTACACATCACATCACGACTACAGGACCACCTGTATTCTCTAAAGCACGACGACTAGCCCTCGAAAAGCTAAGGTTGGCGATAAACGAGTTTGACCACATGATGGACTTAGGAATCATACGACCGTCAAACAGCCCATGGGCATCTCTGTCACACATGGTCCCTAAACAGGACAGCAACAATTGGCGTCCAACTGGTGACTATCGGCGATTGAATGCGGAAACCATTCCCGATCGTTACCCGTTGCCTCACATTCACGATTATACAGCTACCTTGAAAGGTACAACTGTCCTTTCTAAAATCGACATGGTTAAACCGTATAACCAAATCCCTATGGCTACAGACGATATCCCGAAAACCGCCATTATTACTCCCTTCAGACTTTATGAATTTTCGCGAATGCCTTTCGGTTTAAGAAACGCTGCTCAAACATTCCGTCTCAAGCATCTGGATCTTGTTTTCGACCGACTACAAAAACATGGCATTACTGTAAACGTTCAGAAATGCCAAATCGGAGCTGACTCATTAAGCTTCTTACGACACACTATAGAGGCTCAAGGCATGCGACCCCTTAGAACCACAGTGGCGGCACTTCTGGACTACCCAGAACTGACCACCGTCAAGCAATTACGCACGTTTAACGACCTGGTAAGTTTCTATAGACGATTCATACCTAAACGCGCGTTACTCATGAAACCTCTTACCGACCAACTTCGTGGAAATGCGAAATCCATTAATTAAGACGACACCGCACGAAAAGCATTCTCCACAATTAAGGAACTTATCGCCAAAGCAACAAAGCTTGCACATCAGGACACTCAGGCACCCATTAGCATCGCAGTAGGCCCATCCGACTCAGCAATCGGAGGAGTCTTATAACAATGGGTTAACAACTCCTGGCAACCTTCGGCATTTTTCTCTAGACGGTTGCTAGACACCGAATCGAGGTACAGCACATTCGGTAGGGAACTCCTAGCTATGTATTGTGCTGTATGCATTTTCAACACTATATCGAAGACCACAAATTTACCCTTTTCACTGACCATAAGCTGCTTACCTTTTCTTTAAGCTCTTCCTCTGACAAGTACTCTCCTCGTGAGTCTCGACAACTGGACTACATTTCGCAGTTTACTTCAGATATTCAACACATTTCTGGAGCAGACAGTGCAGTCGCAGCCGCTTTGTCTCGCATAACTTCCTTGAACAGTTTCCAAGGAATCAACCTTCTTAAACTCGCCCAGCTTCAAAAAGAGAACACTGATCTTCAGCACGAGTTATCGTCTACAACCTTCAAACTACGCGTCAAACAGATGGGAACAGGTAAGGAAACCTTACTTTGTGACACATCTACAGGTATGGATCGCCCAATCGTGCCAAAACGTTATCGACGCAACGTCCTCAATACGTTGAACAAACTTTCTCATCCAGGCGTTAAGCAACCATCAAGCTTGTTGCAGGACGGTTTTGCTGGTCTGGAATGAATAAAGACGTGAGGGAGTAGGCACGCTCCTGTGTAAGTTGCCAAACATCTAGGGTGATTAGACACAACAAATGTCCCTTAGGTTAATTCAAAACCCCTGATGCTCGATTCGACCATGTTCGTCTGGATTTGTTAGGACCTTTACCAGATTCAAATGGATACTCTTATCTCTTAACCTGCGTAGACCGTTTCACTCGATGGCCAGAAGCAGTACCTATCAAGGACATCATTGCTGAAACAGTGACCCGCGCCTTCGTCGAACGATGGGTAGCAAACTTCGGCTGCCCTTCAACCATCACCACAGACCGTGGACGTCAGTTTGAATCTGAACTTTTCCATCGTCTGACCCCACTTTTAGGAATCACTTGCTTCCGAACGACCGCATACCATCCACAAGCAAACGGGTTGGTAGAACGTTTTCACCGACAACTAAAAGCTTCACTATCAGCTGCAAACGTTTCACAGTGGACTGACGCTCTTCCACTCGTCTTACTAGGTATTCGCAATGCAGTGAAAGCTGACATTGGATACTCTGCGGCTCAACTCGTTTATGGAATGACACTTCGACTTCCAGGAGAATTCGTGGATCCTTCATCTTCCTTAATAAACATAGACCTAACCTCTGACACGAACAGGCTTACAAACGCAATGCGTTCAGTTAAACCTGCTTCCACTCGACCATAGTCAACCGACGTTTTCGTTCAACCTGACTCACGATATAGTACACACGTCTTCGTTCGTCAAAACTGACATCGACGACCATTCGAATCAGCATACGAAGGACCTTTCAAAGTTCTCCAACGCGAAACTAAGTACTATATAGTCGATAAGAACGGAACAAACGATAGCATCAGCATCGATCGCTTGAAAGCAGCGTATTCAGAAGGAAATCCTATTCACGTCGATTTCCTTTCGGTACAATCGCACAACACGACTCCTACGTCTATAATACATCAACCGACAGGCAACACACACGATGATACTCCAATAGTATCAGAAAACAAACTTGAGACGACACGCTCTGGAGGAAGAGTGAGATTTCCAGGATATTTAAACGATCATTGCACGTAAGGCAATGCTTGACACTTTATATTATCTCGATTTTTCTTTTAACCATATGTAATAATTTTTGTAAAAAAATTTTAATATGCTTGTATATTTATATTTTTATTTAAAAAAAACATTATAAAAACCCTTTTTAACGATATGACGTGTATATGAGTTTATTTTCCACTTTTTTCGCCGACACTGTGTTTTTACGCGCGTACGAGCGTATTTCGACATGCACTTACATTTACTTCGTTCTTTTCCAGGATGGCTGGGAAAAAGCGACGAAGTTTAAGAGGAGACGAAATTTTCATTGTACTTTTTCTTTTTTTACTATACTGTACTTCATGGTCCTATATAGTAAAGAAAGACGACCAGATGCTGCTAAACTTAGCAAGCTATCAGAAGAGTGTTTACCAACGACAAGCTCGTTGGGTTTAAAATCCTGGCTGGCCACGTCTTAGGGTCATCACTACCCCACTAGCGGGGAGTGATCTGTAGCGGTAAATAAATCCCCGAAATAAATAGCTCTGTAAGTTTTCGACATTGGATGCTGACCAGATTAGTTTAAATGGACTCACCTAGCTGAATGCGCTCGATCATGCATCCGCACCAGATCACGTGTGAGAACGCCGTGCTCAACATCTGCTGCAATCGCTAGCCAGACTAGATTAGACAATTCCGATATATTGGGAATCGTTAAATACAACTTCTGATCTCCCCGATTCTGTCTTTTGATTTCTCTTGCTGGGTACCAGTTATATTAGGTGTTAATGGTTAAAGCGTTTTCAAACACTGAGTATCTGTGCCATCTTCACGTTTAGTAACCGAACATCTATTTGAGGACCATTGCAGCAAAACATGAAGTCACTCGAAGAGACTCTCATTGAAGAGCGATTTCTTGGAGGTAGTCCTAGTGCTTAGCATTTTGAGTCTTCTCCATCTAGAATGATCAATGCAAAATTATAAATTTTTTGTTTACAATCTTTCAAAAATACAAACATTCACAAATTAGTCGAGCTTGTTCATTTACACATCTTAAATTTTGAGTGAGACAGAGAAAAAGAAGGTGTCAAACACAGGTCCAATAAATATTACATGATAAATTTTTGCTTGAAATACTGTTGTTTAAATCTGTAGTTGGTTTTACGAGATGTTTGGTCGTAACTTATTTAAATGTAAGAATAGCTTATCGTTACTCTCTGGATTACTGTTCTATTCCGATTTTCAGTGGTGAAAATATGGTCGATTTCAGTGTGAGAGTTAAATAATGTTACGCATATGTTTCTTCCTGCTGATAGCTATGTTTATAAATAAGTTACTGGAATACAACGGTTCTGCGTCTATTCTTTTTAACAATGAAAAAGCTGAAGTCAACTCACTACATTATTTCGATTCCTCTGGATGTTACTCTTCATGCTGCGATCACAAGTTTTACGATAGGTCTGGAATTTCCGGTGAAAAATTGGTAATTTCCCGTCAAACTACTAGTGATTTGGCAGAACTGACTGAAATTTGGAGTTTTATTGAACATTTCTGCAAGGTTTGTTTTTCATACTATTTATTTTTCTGAGTTACACAAATTTTCGGCTGAAATTTGAAGTGTCATTTGTGAATTTGGCTTGGCAGGCAGCAGATGTTTACGTTTTTCTTCCACAGCTGAGACCTAGTTAGTTTTTACATAATTGTAACGTTCCCCAGATGTATTCACAAATATATTAAACCTTTGGAATTCAGTAATCATGTTTCTTTCCAAGTTGATAGGCAGCTCATCGAGTTCTAGCCTTTAGTTTAGGAGTTAAACGGTCATAGACAGTTCTTTATTGCACTATACAGTTTTCGACTTCCTACACTGGTGCGTCAACAGGCGTGTTTTTGTAAATTTCGACTCTACGCTTAAAAAATGGATAAAATGTAGTTGATGCAATGGATGATGACGGATAATATGTATATCACTTTGTTTACTAACTATAATTTCGATATTTTGAAAATATTTCATTGTATAACTTAACAGCAATATGCTTACTGTAGCAACTAAGGCTTTGAATAGTCCTAATATAGAGCCTACATTTGCAAACTATTGGAAACTAGAAGTACATATGCTTCAGACACTGATTTATTGATCATTGGAGTAAAAGTATTCTTAGTTTGATTGGCCTTTAAGTTTTCGATCTGAAAAATTATGCTTGTATGGACTTTTAAGTTCATTTTTGTGTTTTCAGATCTTATATCCAGAAAATTATCTTTGTTTTTTTAAAACGGATAAAACACAGACCCTACTTCAGGAGATCTTTCGGAAAATTACTTCAATTATCACGATTTTATGTTATTTAATCAAGTAGCTTCCAAATTTTCTTCATAGTCGTTGGGTAGATTAAATTTAATGATGAATTTAAGTTGCTTATTGTCTGTTCAGTAGCATACGTAATGCTATTACAATTGTACACATTTACAAAGGATCAATATACATAGTAGTAAATTGTGCATCTTCTTTTAAAACTAATAGATTGATGTACATGCGGACAGAAGATGCTTATAAAGCACAAACGTTTATGATATGGTGGTTTCATAATATTGTATAATCAACTATACAAAAATTTCAAATAACTACTTTCCTTTTCAATATCTGGACTGTAATGGAAAATCGTAATAAATATGCAGTCTCAATAGAGATTAGTGAGTCAAACCCTAGAATATGGTTGATAGAAGCAACACAATGTCCTCAGTGATCCATCTTATGCATATTTGGCTCTATAAAAAACGTAGTTTTATGCTTCTGTAAGTTTTAAAACAACTTATTTACATATGTCTACCTAAATAATTTAATCCTAACCTAAATACGTACCAGTTTAGGTTGTCACAACTTGCGAACTTACAATAATAAATTAAATTGATAATATGGAAGCTGGGGATTTAGGAAAAGTAATGTCATTCGTAGCAGTAGGCTTAAGATGTTGTAATTCTAAAATAACTGGCCTTGGGATAATCATTTTTGTATTCACCTCTGTTGAGTAATATAGAAAGACACTAGCAAGTTAGGTACTTGTATATTCATAAGCTAAAAGTTTTGATTTAATTAAACTAATACTGAGAAGCCTATTTAAGTCACACTTTAGTTTTTAATTAACGAATGCGTTTTATCCAAAATATATGTGTAAAAATGGTGTTCGGCGTAACAAGCAGATGAACACTACAAATTTGCATTGGACTACGATAATATCAGCTGTTAACAATGACATTTTATCTAATAGCACCAAATATTTTTCATGGTTTTTAGACAGTATAATGGCGAATCACTTTCAGTCCTTAAAATGTTTGTTTCAACCTTTATTGTCCCTTTACATTAAAAAGAACTAATTGAATTGAAAACGAGATGGAAAGTAAGGAGATATATATTTTCGACGCAGAACTATTTGACAAACGGTCATCTGAATTTACTTGGTATAAATTTGAACTTCATATTAACTTGGAGCGCGATAGAATAGATAAAAGCGATCTGTATTTTTACACTTTAGAGGACATCAAGGTTAGACCTTATTTCATTCAACGTTCCGAAATTTATGTCGTGTTTCGTTGAATGGCCGATGTTTCCATTTTTCTTTGTCGCGAATCTTGTTTCATGAAGTTAAGCCTTATGTAAACACAAGAATGTCAGGGGTTGATGTTGTTTGATAACTTCTATACCTTTTAGGGCGTATAACCACTTTTGCCATACAATAACAGATTTGTAATCATTATATTTCACAGCATCTTGACCGGTACTTTGATAAATTTTTATCCTAGGATACTCTATTGCGCTCCTCGTTTATAGCTGTTTAGATACATTTGTACTTATCACTACGTGGAGTTTGGTTTACTTCGTGATTCATACAAACATACTGTACATCAAGCATATTTATAGAATGACTCTACTAATGGGATTAAATAACAAGTAAGGGAGATCTTTATTTAGTATCGGCCATTTAAAATAAGGGTGGTTAAACATGTATAAGAAAAATGTATAGGAATAATATAATATTTTTATTCTTTTGAGTGTTACACCATCACAACTACACGAAAAAAGAATAGTTTGTCATTTAATTATTTAATGCCCTAAACTTAGGGAACGCTTTGTAAAAACTACGACATACTGAGAAACAATTATTTTCTCCCACGTCAACAAGTGAAGTAAAACATAAATACTTTACAAGAAACCAGTTTTCACCTTATATGTGCCAATTGTATTACTAATATGTGATCTTCAGTTGTCCCTAGCAAAAACATACTCAAACTAAAATGTTAAAAATGGTTTGAGACAGACGGGAACAAAGTTTTCTTATATATGCAGAAGACAAAAAGTTTCCGGGTTTGTTTGTGGACTTATTTTATAAAGTACAGCATTACTTTGATATAATCTTCATAAAATTGTAAATATGAATGACCACTGAAGTTCAGCACATTTTGTCTGTATAATTAATCAGTATATTTTTGCAAAACTAACAATTCTGTGTAGATAGCTAGCTGTGCACAGTAGGAAGGGAAATTTAGTTGACACACTTTCAGCTTTTGAAGTCCTAAAATATTATAACGGGAAGATCGTAGTAAGCTAACAAGAATGGTGAGCTATCAATATACATAAGCATATAGAACTTTGTAAAACTACAGTCTAACAGCTGCCAAAAATGCTTGCTCTAAAACTGATTCTAATGAGTGATATCAGTAGCCTAATGTTCTGGGAAAGGACAAAAATTACATTCACAAGTAGAAAGGGTATATAGGCAGATATAATTTGAAAAAACTCAAATTTTCGTAACTGAGTGTAAATATTTAAATACATCTATCAATTTCGAAATTTACGAAAACCCAAAGGTTTTCAAAGACTATTCAATGAATTACGCCAAAGATAGGTAAAGTTTGGTTGTTGACGTCTTAGCAACTAATAGTTTTGGGAAGCTATTGACTCTAAATGTCACAAATTATTCAGAGATTTTGTTACAGTAGTCGAATTGTTACTCCTTCATCATTTTTATTTAATATACCGAATGAAATTTAAATCTTTTGTTAGCAATTTTATGTCTGACTCCTGAAATTTATGTTGCTGTATTCACCATACTACTTTCATGTTTTTAGTTTTAGAAGATTTACTATTATCAGAATGACTTTTTAATATATGTTTTCTGAGTGAAGTGATACGTACCAATTTCAGAGTGAATGACTATGTGACAAGCAAAAATTGTAATCTTCTATTTATTTAAAATAAACTAGCAACGTATGGGGTAGCAATAGTACACTTGTCACAGCTGTTCCACATTTATATTCATATCCTCGATTTATTTAGTTTATTATGTTGCTAAATATCTGTTTACTTGTGTGGATGCTACGTAGTCAGCTTTGACTCTGTGATAGATATGAAGATGTTTATTCTAAATTTCCTTTCAACAAATGACTATGCTTGTATGTCTCAATCAGAAGGTTGATGAGGCAAATGAGAGGCTAGATTTATCAAATTGTTTTTTAAATGTTTGCAAATTGTGTATTTGAAAAATCAGTCTGTCTAGCTACTGCCTGTTATATTTGAGCAATGTTCCATTCATTTTTAACAGTTGTGTGCTCAAAAATTATGATCATTTGATTCTAATTGCGTTTACTACTTCGGTGATTCTTTATTACTTTTATTATGACAGTGTAATCCTTTATTTTTGTCATAATTATCAATTAATTCGACCACCTCTTCTACGTCCTGTATGATTATTTTTAACTGCTGAGTGTCAATCTTAACCATATCTAATAACATATCATATGTCGTATTCCCCTTTCATCATTTTCAGTTCCTTCTCGAATATCAGTTTCAAAATCGTCAGCTCAAATGTATCAGGTCTATGTTTCTAAACAGAATACTCCCAACAATTTTAGGTTGTTTTCAGCTGAGACAGAACTTGAAATCAAATGAATTCATTTCACTATATAAACTGTTACTTTTGCTTTTTTTAAGCTTCCATAATGTAGATTCTAAAAGTTTTTTTTCCGAAAACACGTTGTATTAGTTACGTACACTGTATCTTCTTTGAGGAAACATAAGTTATTCTGATTTCGCAGTTACTATTTTTTATGATTCATATTACTCGCATTTCATCTGTTTGACTCTACGATGAATTTTGTCATTGTGTTTTCCTGAAATTTTATGACAAAAAAGGCCCTAATATGTAATTATATAATGACACGAAACATTTAGATGCGCTAAATTATAAGTGGTTTTCAATATTATATTTTAATAGCTTGATGCTTACTATCATTTTAGAAGGGATGAATTTATCCGTTTTCCGCATATTAGCAAAATCCTGGCTGGTCGTTTCTGTTAAACTCAAAATTTACTTTTTTATACTTTTGCAAATGTAACTAATAAAGTAAATAATCTCTGTTTAAGAAACCGTTTTGATTAACTATTTTGTTCAATATGTGTGATACTAGCTGGAACACTTGGGACAGTTTCGTAATACGATACATCTTCGTTTAATTTATCTATGAACTCCTGCCCGAAATTAAAACTCTACTACATCTTGATAGAAGATTAAGCAGTTCTCGACACAGTACCATAGCAAGAAGTTTATCATTCATTATCAGTATTTATTAAAGGAGAGTAACTTTACACAACAAAAACTAAAGCCGAAAACTAAATTAAACGAATAATAATATAAGCAATATGAATCTGTTTCATTGGCTTTTACGTCTTGATTATACATTTTCAGCATATCAGTGCATCTAAAATGTTTATGAATTCTTCAACATACTCAAATATACAACGTCATCTAACTTTAGAAGTTGGAAAACCTGAATTCATGAATAATGGAAACAACAGATACTTTTGTTTGTATTGTATCAGAAACTACATGTTAAAAGCATCCATAAAATCTGACATAAACACTGAGCAGTATTTGAATTTATTTCTTTTTCGGTAAGTTTCTTTATTTTTTTTAAAAAGTTTAATGTTAATAATAACGACAAATTATTCTGATACACAGGTTTAAGGTTCTCAGTAGCTGACTGACTGAATCCAAAAGTATTAAGCATTACCAGTATGGGGTTGTGAAGACCGTTGAGGTTTTGATTGAGATCATGAACCGATGAATGTTAGACCACCATTGAAAACTTGGGGGCACTGGATGGCCGTTTCGGACTTACAGTGAGAAGCTGCGACCAATGGAGCTAATCCGTATCAGGTAGAGACAGGTGTCTACCTCATACAGTGGAAGATAGTCGCACAATTTCGTGGATTGGTCGAAGTTGAACATTAACACCGTTGGATGCCGGCTCAGCGGTCTAGAGGTAAAGGATTCGCGCGCGAGACCAAAGGTCTTGAGTTTGAATCTCGCATGCGGGATCGTGGGTGCGCACTTCTGAGGAGTCCCGTTCTAGGACGGAACGACCGTCCAGTGCTTCCAAGTATTAATCATTGTTGATCGTGTAATTTCGTAGGATTTATTTCCTCTAGTATGCAGCTGAACCATGGCATATCATTTATAATTAAAACTATGTAAGGTTCGGAAAAAAAGAATAATGGATAGACATTTTGCATCATTTGCGAATTGAACCCTCAGTTATCTCATTTTCAAGTTATTTATGACTAATTAATTCTTTTGTTTATTTATGAAACTAATCATTTTTTTAGAATTGTACAATTTTCTCTGAACTAATCTAGTACACTTTTTTAAAAAAAAGCGGATTTGGAAAGAGATGTTCTGTCATAAACAACGAGACGGTATTGGTATCAGGGGAAATAATTCGTAGCTTCCCATATTTATATCAATATGAAATCGACTCTTTAATTACAGCGGTAAATTTTTAATCAATGATGTAATCAAAAAGTTAGAAGTTAATATCAGAATCTATTTTCAAAACTTGTCAAATAATAAGTCTAGAGCTTTGAAAAAATTCATTATTTTTATTCTGTAATTCTTATAATATAGAAGTTAGATTTATTTGGGAAAATAAGTAACATAATAAATATTCAATCAATAACATTATTTTTGAAAGTTGACATTTTTCGATTTAAATTATGTGTAACTATTCACACATTTCTGAACATATCTCTTGATATTCACATTCTATGATGCATATTAATTAACTATGTTCTCCAATGCGCAAGTTCATTTGTATTAACCATTCAGTTTACTTCATAATTCTCTCATTTTCTTGGGGGTTAAAGCAAATGTTAGTGTTTTTAATTCTTTAATCGTGTCTTAGGTTAGTATTCAAAGTATTTATGGGAGTGCATTGTTTAAGGTTCTCATTTATTAACAGTAAGAATGTGACGAATTTCAATTTACGATTTATTGTCTCTATAACGTTGCGATCAACATAGCTTAACCTTACCACTTCGATGCACATAATTGTTTCACTCTCCTTCGGGAGCAAAAAGTATTTCGAAAAACAAAAATCTCATAATTCTACCTGTTAACGTTTATCTGCATTATATTTTTAGGAAGTTTTCACTACGTTCACCACGTTCGATAATTAAAACCAAAGACAAAATTTCTTTATTCAATAAAACTAGAAATATGATACCTACTTTTATGCTTCCAGCAGTAAACAGTGTACCTGTTAGAGCAGTATCTATACATTCATCTAATTTAATGCCATCATCAAGTAGTAATATTATGAACGAGTTCAACCAAGTAACATTTCTACATTACCAGTTTGATGTTGTACAAATTAAATATGGGATTATACAAATAAAAGTAGATGACGATCAAGCAACATGGAAACAAACAACTACATTTACTGGATTACAAGTAATTGAACAAAAGGTTCGTTATATTAGCCTTGTAGCTCAACCAGAAAATACGCAAACGGCGTTTAATGATCGCATACATATAACCTGTTTTAGAAATTTGGAAAAATCTAACATCATGAGGCTAGTTTTGCCAGTGAACTTTATCCGAATTCATATAAGTATCACCGTAAACAGACCTCTTTTGATTTATGTAAGTACCGTCAATGATAAAATAAACTCACATCTTATTGGCATGGAAGGCCGTACGGCTCGACTGGACTCAAGATATTTAGAGGTCAGAGCTGAACCATGGGAAAAGGATTCACTAATATGGTTTACTGTAACGAAAATTCCGATACATGGACACTTATTTCTAGTTAATCGAAGTAGTCAGCAGACAAATACAAATAAGGAGTTTGATGATAAAATTTATCTGGGTGTTAGTTCACAATTTACACAAGAAGACTTAAGAGCAGGAAATTTATTTTATACCTTTCGCCGTGTACTAGATGATAGTTCGGAGAGGACTTCAGATGTAAGTTCTAAACGTTTTAGTTTAATCGATGAATTCAAATATCGTGTTAATGTAGAAGGAGCTCAACCCAAGACAATATACGATTTTCGAATAGTTATCAAGAAGATATCCAGCACTACTTCAATCTCTACTGTTAAATTTAGTCCTACAATTATAAACAGAGGTGGAATTGTAGAGGAAGGTGGAGATCTGACTCTAACACCTGAGTTGTTTTATGCTAAACATTCACAATGTCAAAACAATTCTGTACAAAAGTCATCTAATGAGCTATTTCAAGACTATGATCTATATTTTCAAATCCTCTCACTACCTGAACATGGTACACTTTTAATAAAATCACCGTATAATTCAACTTTAACCAATTTAATTAATTTGACAGAATATAACCACAAATTAATTAATTATAACTTGTTAATATATCGTCATAATGATGAAGAAGAATTTAAGGATAGTTTTCAATTTCAATTTTTTTGCCGTCAAACACCTATTAGCCATTCATATGATGATGCTAATGACGATATAACCGTACATTTAACAGGATTATCACATACTTCAGTAGATGAACTATTTGGTCAACCAGTTACTTCTATTTTTCGGATTCGTATTATTCCAGTGAATGATAATCCTCCGAATTTGTATATAACTCCTCTATTTGTTGAATTTAACACAACAAATAACACACTAAGTAAATCATTTAAAATAATAGATAAAGATAAGAATTTGCAGAACGATTATTTTGATAATAAAAACGATGACAATAATAATAATGATGAATCGATTTATAAAAGGGGTGATTTTTGGATTTATTGGGAAGAAAACAAAAACTTCCACAGAAAAGATATTATATATCCAAGTTTGGGATATTTCATTCGAAATCTTGATATGACTGTCAGTCGTCGTTTCAAATATTCTGAATTAACTAATGGTCTTATTAACTTTAAACATATGGGACTTCCTACCGGCCAAGTGAATCTTAAAGTAATGGATGGAAAGTTTACTGTTACTAAGCAACTAACAATCAATGCAACCAAGCCCACTTTTCTTGTATTGCAGCCAAGTCGTATAACATTGAGATCAAACGGGAGAGTTTTCATTCCTATCGAGGTAGGCAGTTAATGAAAACTATTATTTTATTATATTCTATAAAACTGAATATCGTGGAAATGCACTATTGAGTATCCGGCTCTAAGTGGATTTATTTTATTTTTACAGTTTTGAATACTGTAACTTATTTCCTGCCTGTAGTATTTATTTCTAAGCAAATGAGTGATGTAGAAATGAAAGCTATATTTTTATTAGGCTGAGATATTTTATTCTCTGATTATTTTGATAATAAATTTTGGCTTTACTACATGCTTACTAATGATTTCTAATATATTATTCTAATCTCTGAACAAGATATATTTGCTGAGGTGTAAGATAGCAGTATAATCTAATTTGAAGTAATCGGCACTGATGATGGAAGGAATTAGAGTAAGAAAGATTATCAGTAATAACCATATATAGATATATATATATTTACGCATAAACAAGTGTGAGGTCATTTGAAGATGGAATTCAAAAACATATGGCAGATTGAGGTAAGATCATAACAGTATCAATTAGAGAACTCGAACCTGATTTATGTCTTGAGAGTGACACTAGTCAACTTATCATTGCTTAGGAAAATTGACGGAATCGAATAATATCACCTGACCATACTATCATTATTTTATTAGTATTCCCATATTATCACTTATTTTGCTATCCAATCTTCGCCAAAGCATTGGTCACAACAATATTTTATAGAGTAGAAAAGATATGTACCACAGACAAACTGGAGAAATAATTGATGAACATTGAAAAATGCCCAAGAGACAACTACTACGCATATAAATTTATTGACCAATATAAAAACCTTGAGGAAACAGAACGGAAGTGACTACATTCAGTAAAAAAACATTCTCTATAAATCTCAACTTTAAAGGTGATGACGTTGCAAGCGCAATCGGCAGGAGGCTCGGCACTACATTAGTCAGAACTTACCGGGTAGCTAAACTATTAATTTTGTATGAAACAACATGTTCAAGGTCGATAAGCACCCCTTTCATGTTACCGCCAACTGTATTTATCAATTAACGTGTACTTGCCAAAGCAACTACATTGACCGAGCAGAAAGGAGGGAATATCTTAGATTTTTAGAACATGTTCCAAGAAACCTTAGAACAAGAGAAAGAGTGGCTTTAAACAGTGCAACTACCAAACATATCTTAAATACAGGACACCAGATCGATACCTTGTAAGTTTCCAAAGTGATTAATAAGCAGCCACGCTTCAGTCCTCTGAAGTTTGCTGAAGCCGTTGCTATCAGGCGTCAAAAACCTGATTTGTGTGTTCAAAAGATGTTTATTAGTCTTTACTTTAGTGACAAATATTCTTTCGTAGCATTTTAAAGAAATTCTTTTATAACTCCTTCTTTCGCTCAACTACGTCACTGCGTCTTTCTGCTTCGACTGTCTTTCAGATTTGTAATCTTATTTTATTAACTGAGCTTACTCATTTAATTCTTATCAGCGTTTACTCATTGTGTAATCACTTGTTTCTAGCTCTTTGAACCATTGTTACAATCAATTTTGTAGAATTTTACTTTACATAAGGCATTTATTTACAATATTTTATTCAGTTTATTAATTTTATTTACACTCTTGCTATACTATACAGATGTATCTTCAAAATAACTTTTAACTATACTTTTTCGTGTAAGTGATTTAAATCTCTTTGGCAGTTATGATTTTAAATATCACAGGTTGCAAGGAGCTGACTAGAACCAAAAGAAGTAAGATGAATTGATGCGATTCTGAAAAGAGCAAGAAAAAAATCCTAGCAGAATAGCATGAATTCATTTTATTTCGTAGGTTCTCGTCAGCTGCTTACAACCTGTGATATTTAAAATCATAATTACATAATGGGATTAAATTACATGAGAGGTTTGATTGGAAGTTATATTGAAGAAATATTCGTACAATATAGCGAGGGTGTAAATAAAATTAATAGACTGAATACTGTAAATATATACCTTATGTGAAAGAACATTCTGCAACATTGATTGTGAAAACGGTTCAGACGGCTAGAAACAAGTGATTACATAATGCGTAAACATTGATAGGAATAAAACGAGTAGAGCTCAGTTGATAAAATGAGATTATTAATTTGGAAAATAGTTGAAGTAAGAAAAATCAATGTTGTAATAAATGCAGGAAAGAGTTTAAAGAAAAAAAGTTTTTAAGTTGCAGCGACGGACTATTTGTCACCAAGTCAAAGAACGAATAATAACCATCTCCTTTTGAACAAATAAGTCAGGTTTTTGACGCCTGATGGCAACAACTTCTCAAACTTCAGAAGACTGGAGTTTGGCTGCTTACTAATCACCTTAAAGGATTGCAAGATATCCTGATGTATTGTATCAAGGAGATGTTTGGTGATTGTACTGTTTAGAGTAAGTAACACAGTTGTTAGAAAACGGGTACTAGGTAAGGATGGCAAATCAATTAATGAAGTAGTGAAACTTCATCCGTTGAGATGGCTGGGACACGTGTTACGTATGCCCAACGACCGACTACCTTGACGTGCTCTGTTCAGTGGTATAGGAGTAGGTTGGAAGCAAGCTAGGGGCGGCCAAACCAAAACATGGCACAAGTCCATGAAGTCACTGACAAGTGGACTGAGTCATGTTGGTAGGTGTAGACTACCTGGTTGGGGACCACGAGATGATAGCAACCGATGGTTAGAGACCCTGAATGACATGGCTCAAAATCGTTGGCAATGGCGCAGGTGCATCCACTCTTTGTGTTCTCCCAAATTCTAATCTTCTGAATTCTTCGCGTCCCTTTTTTTCTCTTTCCAAATTTCTTTCACTGGATTATACTCTTTAAATAACATCTCCAAACCCCAATCTTCCCGATTACTGCTTATAATCTTGCTACCTCTACCACTACGGGATTTGAATCGACAACTACATCTTTGTGCTAAGGTGGTGTGGCAACTCGAACTGATGTACATACGTACGAAGTTCTACGTTGTTACTGACTGACTGACTTGTTCTGAGACGTTTTAAAACATGTTAAAAAATCTAAGATATGCCCTCCTTTCTGTTCGGCCAATGTAGCTGCTTTGGTAAGCACATGTGAATTAATAAATACAGTTGGCAGTAACATGAAAGGGGTGCTTATCGACCTTGACCATGTTGTTTAGTTTCTTGTTGATTATGTGTATGACATCATCACCTTTGAAGTGAAGATTTATAGGTATTTGTTTTTTATTGACCGTAATTATTTCGGTCCTTTTTTCTCTGAGCTTTTTATATTTGTCAATAAACTTTTGTGTGTAAAAGTTGTCTCTTAGGTATTTTTCCACGTTCATTAATTCTTCTTCCAGTTTGTCGGTAGTACATATCTTTTCTACCCTGTAAAATAGTGTTTTAACCAATGCCTTCTTGTAACTAATTGGACAAAAACTATTGAAATTCATGTAGAGGCCATTCCAATTACTTTTTCTATAAACTGAACGTTGGACTGTCCCGTCTCCCCTGCGTTTCATGGCAACATCAAGAAAGTGGAACATGTCGTTCTGTTCGTCCTCCATAGTGAAATGTATGTTAGTGTGAGCGTTATTGAAAAGTTTGAGCAGGCGGATTGCATGCTGTTTATTGCTACAGATAATAAATGTGTCGTCCACATATCTGGAGTATTCCGTTGTTTCACTAATTGCCTGTTTAAGTACCGTGTTTTCAAGATAACCCATAGAAATATCTGCCATAATTGAACCTAGTGGGCTTCCCATTGCTACGCCATCGATTTGGCGATATATGGTGTTATTGAACTGGAATTGAACATCTATTGTGCACATTAGTAGTAGTTTTTTGTAATCTGAGGCTGGTAAAGGTAGGAGATCATAATTCTGACAAATTATTTCAATAGTACCAAAAAGTGGTATGTTGGTGAACAAGGATGTTACATCAACAGAAACCATGAACTTATCGGCAGCATTCGTATGATTTAGTCTATCAGCAAACTGGAATGTGTCTCTTAACGTAAATGTTACTAAACTCCGACGAACCGGTCTCAGTTTTTCTGCTAACCAGCTTGCAACTTTATGATACGGTGAGTTGATCATTGGTAGGATAAGTCTGAGGGGAAAGTCATGTTTGTGAAGTTATGGTAAACCATGCAGATGAGGAAGATGTGAGCCACGTGGTCTTAGATCATTGTAAGTAGGATTAACAATCATTTTCCTTTATAGAAGTTTTCTAAGCATGCCTGTCATTCGTTTTTCTGTTGAATCAGTCAAACGTTTTTGGATTTATCTACCTTGAATCTCAGTTGATCGTCTAGGATTGACTTGATCCTTGTGACATAATCAGCTGTATTCATTAGGCCGACACCTGAACCTCTATCCGGTCATAAAATCATCACCTCATTATTTTTTTGATATTTCTTAGGGCTGTTAAGTGTTCTTTGGATAGAATATTCGACCTTGGTGTCGATGACACAAAGTATTGGTTGGCAATACCAACTAACTTTGATTTGAACCACCCATTCTTTCTCTCATTCATTGAATGCAAATCTTTTAACTGGTCAAACAGATTCTCGAATTGAGCTTCTGTATCAATCCTGTCAGTATTTGTTTTTGGTATATGAAATTTGAGTCTCAGTGATAAGGCTTCTGTTTCTATATTATTAAGCTTCATATTTGATAAGTTATAGATAGACTTCTAAGGGTATTCCGGCACCCTAAACATAGTTGTTCTCTTATCAGGATTTTCGATAGAGATTTATGGAAATTCTTGCAAATGTTGATTTGAAGATTACGAATAATATTCACGAATTTTATTCAACATACGATGTTTAAATCATTAACGGCTTTATCAAAAGCACCGACCTCAGTCCTTAGTCGTGTAATGGGTAATTTTGTTGATTGAATGTGCGATTTGGTGATGCGTCTTAGATGAGTAATTTTGTTGATTCAATGCTATGTTGATTCATGCTATTCTGCTAGAATCTTTGCTCTATCTCTCTTCAAGATGATAAAGGGAACTGTGTGTATGTAATGATTCCGTGAGCTTACATTTTGCAGGTAGATTAACCGCTCAGAATTAGCCTGGAAAAATTATTAAGAACGTAAGGTCATGTGTAGACTATTTTATTTTTGTGCTGATCCAATTACCTTGACTAATTAGTTAAGAAGTTGGAGTTCAGAAATGCTGCAGTTAGATTTATGTACCATTCGTTTCTAGTCAGTACACTAAGATTGCTGATAGAATCTACATTCTTGATACATTCACAATTACTAGGCTTAGCAGAGAGAAAACTGAAAATAATAAATTTGATTCACTATCATAATTTAACGCTAATTGACTACAGACAACATTCATCTTCATATATTACATGAACAGATCACTTAATTG